AATAAAGTGAATAGAAAGATTTCTATTATTATTTTATATGATAAGAGACAAGATGTTTTAACTCCGTGGTACTGTTGTGAACATGGATGCTATTTTGTTTTCCCGATGCTAATTACATACCAAATATGTATTATATTAACTTTTTATTTCCTCTTTAATAGTAAACCACATAATAATCATATTGCATTCAACCATCATGATTTATTTGTATAATAAAAATAATATGAGAGTAAATTGACTTTCTTTTATGACTAAAATTAAAATGATCAAAAATATCAAAAATATGAAAGTATTATGTTATTATATTTTTAGATGCAATTATAAAATAACAAGTAATACTTTGCACAAAAATCGATTATCTCAACTGTGTATATCTGTGTTACTGTTTAACGATTTAACGATGCTAATGTGACAATTTACTGAAGTGTCATCCCATCATCGTGATGAATATGACGTTTCTATTTTACACGACTTTCAATACAAGACATAATAGTTACGTGCTTGAAATCGCGAGATCATGGTCAAAACTATTGATCAGGCTTTACAACCCATTTCTATAGCCTCTTTTATCTTGGGTTTTGGAATTCTCAGATATCCCTGCGACCACCCGAGAATTCATTTAAGTGTTTCTTATATATTTATCTTGTGGAGTGTTTACGTCTACGTGTTTTATAACATGACAATATATTTTTCATCAAGAAGTATTTTTAATGGAGCTTTAGATGCCTTCTTAATAATAATAAATATGTTTGTGGCGGTAATATCTATAATTACTTCTTTTCTTCGATATAAGGTATATATTTTCTCTATATACTTTACAATATCCTGAATTAGTATTATATTAAAAACAAAATAAATGATACATAACTCTTCCAATTTATCTCCATTCTTATTTGAAAACATTATTTGGATTTTAGTTTAAATTTAACTAACCTTAAATAAATTGCCAAATAATTTATACTTTGTTAGATGCAAAGTTATTACATATACATATAATATACTATAATTAAAGTTTGTTACCTTCAAAAAATTTTTTTAGAATAATGACTTTTGCAAAAGTCGACTTGTCAATTCTTTTTACACGATAAACTTAATTTCCAACTTGTAGTAATCATATGCTTTACTACAAAATTTATGTTATAAATTGCTGTTTCATTATATGAAACCTTTAAATATGTTTTCAGTATATAAGACTTTTAAATATGTATATGTGCATCATTTTCAAAGAGATATTCATATATAACATTATACATATATTACTTCATCGTTATCTCTTATTCTCAGAAATTCCGAATGTATATAAAAAAGCTGAGTTTTGTGGATAATACATTAGAACTACTCGGAACACCTAAGGAATATCACAAAATGCAAAATTCAATAAAATGGATATTTATTACGTGGTTCATGGTGATTTTCGTGACATGGTTTATCGATTCTTTATGGTTTATAGAGAAGTATAACGACATACGAGCCATGTTCATCCCTATCATTAAAGATTATCCTTTCCACATCAATATGTTTATGGACCTAATGTATATGCTTATTTTAAAGTTAGTCTGTTTTTATAAATTATTTAATAAATTTATTATTAAAAGCTAGTTAATATAAGTTAGATAATTTACTAAATTCGTAATTTTTTTAAATTAAGAATGTAATAATGAAGGTACAGTTAAAAGTAATTAAGTTATTTTTATTTGTGTCATAGTTTAACAATTATTTGCATTAAATATTAATTTTTTAACATAATATATAAATTCAAAAATTTTGATACCATTCTTTTTATAAAATTATAGGAATAAAAAGTATTAATATCTTATACAATACTTTTTATTTTGCTGCATTTAGAGAAAAAAATACATAACTAATACATCTTGAACATTTTTTAAATTACAGTTATATAGGTGCTAGATTGGATAAAATAAATGACTGCATGGAAGAATTGTCAGAGACTGAAGAATATGGGCTAAGATGCACATGGAAAAAATCTTTTATTGTTACTCGACCTTATATGCGCGGCGCTGGAAATCGCAAGCGTATATTATGGACCGTAATGTAAATTGTTTTATATATATAATATATTATATATATGTATATGGAGGTGATACAAAAAAATTGAAGATCTGTTGTTAAGGAGGAAAAAAGAATTTCACCTAAAAGAGTAATATTATACTTATTATAACGAAACATGATATTCCTTATTGATGATTATGGCAATTATGTTGCATATATGATACATATATGTGCGTGTTTTATTTATTTATCAAAATTTGTCCAATCTTTAAATTTACAATGCTCGCAATTTGTGTACCATAATAATAAACTAAATTAGTAGTACAATATTATGTATAATAAAACAATTTTTTTTTATAAATTAAATTCGGAATTTAATTTGATTTCGTTTAAACAAGAGGTAAATGATGCATGTGTATAAATGTTTTGTGAAATAACAAATCCAAGTTTAATTTCTCAATCGTTATGGATTTATCCACTAATTTATGCATATATTGTTTAGGCATCTTCATTCGTCACTTTGCAGAATAGCTCTTGATATACATGGCTTATTCAAACTACGTATGACCCTACAGATGATATCTTATTTCATTGTTTTAAATGCAATGTTTTATTTTGAATATCAAACATTGTTATGCTTAAAAGAAATGTATGGCGGTGATTCAATTCGACTAAAGTTATTACTTTGTAGCGACATATGGTTTACTATATGTTTAACGAAAGTAATATCATTTAACCACATCTGCGAAAATGTTAGCGATAAAGTAAGTTGATTTTCAATGAATTATAAGTAAATACTTTAATAAGTATATAAACATGTATTCTTACAAGCAGAAATTTTATACAATCTTTCAAATTCATATAACATATAGTACTGAATCACCGTTGAATAAAAAAATGTTTAATATATTACACAAATAAAGTTCTTTTTATAGGTAAGACTTTACATCTCTTAAAAATTACAAATTTTATTTATACA